CCTACACGACGCTCTTCCGATCTCCCCAAAACCCCAAAACCCCAAATTGAACATAGAATATGCAAGTATGAAATAAGATTAGTTAAGAAATCAAAACTAATATTCAATTGTGGATTTGTTGTTACTGATAGTATTTTCTTTATCATCATTGAAGGCACCATCATCATCAAACATATCAAATCGATGTTCTTTAACTATACCCATAATCTTGCTAAGTTCACTTGACTGCTCATCCATCATGCTAGTCTCGGTGAAATTAATCTACGTATACTTCTTTTTATCATTCTATTGGATATTTTCATTTTCCATTTCTTTCTTGATCTCATAATCATCATTATGATGCGTTTATTTTGAAGAATTATAATCTAGATTCACAGGTTAAGTAGTAATCTCAGCAATAAGCAAATTAGTCCTCTTGTCGAAATCGTGAAGCCAACTGTTAACTTTACCCCACATCTAATCCTTATAAACTTTCTTCTCTTATTCGAGCCTAGATTCCTTGGCATAACTTTTAATTGCATCAAATATAGGCTTTCCAATTTTCATCTAAAGAGTGGTCATCATAACTAAAACCTTACAATACGAAATTTCTTAATTAATAATTCTTCTCTTAGCTAGATATTAATTCTTTCTTTTCTTAACTCTGGAATCGTTAATCTCCAAAAAGTCAAAGCTGATCTTTTTAAGTTGCTTAGATACTTTCTTTATAGAACTTTCTTCTCAAGTCTACACTATACAAGATACTATTGCCAGAGATGTATTGATAACCTAGAAATATTTTGAGTTAAAAATTTCAACTTACTTGTATTGATTAACCTCAAAGAATCTATCCGCAATCCTATTAAGCTTATTGATTTTCTACTCTTCCTCTAAACTTTAAACCATTAAACCTTCTTTTAATAGACTCAAACCATTTCTTTTTATTCTCTTGAGATTGTGTAAATCTGCTTTCAAAGCTTTCTCACTAGCCAAATCAACTAACTTACTTAGTGGCAGTATGACATACTTTATTATCAAACCCCTATTATAGTACTCCTTGGCATTTTTCAATTTAAGGAATTCAACTTCTTTTTGTTTTTTCTCCTCTTCAATCTTTTAATTAGCTTCCCGAATCCTTGCTCTCTTTTAATCTCTCTCATCTTGAAGTTTTTTCTTTTTTTCTTCTTCTTTTTTTAGTTCTTCCAATCTTTTATCTTCTTCAGCCTTTTTGCGCTTCTCTTCATATACCTTATCTAACTCTTGCCTCTTATTTTTCCTATCCTTAGCTCGAATTTCCATCTCTATTACATGCTTTGGCCTTTCTACTACAGGTTGGAGTGGCTTCTATTATTTTTAAAGTCTGCCTATATTCGATCTTGATCTTTAAGCAGCAGAGCTTTGGGTTTAATTTGAAACAGAGCTACTATCAATATTTGAAGGTCTCATTGGCTGCCTACTTATATTCATTATGTTATCATTATAGGTAACCATCGATTCTTTATTTTCTTCATACTATGAAAAGTTTATAGTGTCGACAGACGGTTCTTGCATCTAATATGGTACAGCATTTTAAGTTTGGGACAAGAATTGATTTCTATCTTGATTGATCTATTATGATGAGTCAAAGTTGGAAAGCATTTATTCACTCAATTCATTATACTCACTTTAGGAAAGCTGAAAGGGCTCTGTCATCTATTAGTACTCTTGGACGCTCTTCAATTTTTATTTCATTTAATCTTTATATTACTTCTCTTACTTCAACTATTTCAGTTTTTCTTCTTCATTCTTAGCTTTTTCTTTAAGGTTGGTAAAAAATGAATCTATTTAATTTTTCATTTTGTCATGCTCTTCTTGAATTTATCGTTCATTCTACATATTCTTGATATTTTTAACAAGTGATTTGAAACACTTTCTTTTCAAGATTCTTAGAAAGTGATTCTCAGCTGTTTGCTCCATTACTCTCTACCTTTACTACTCTTTCTCATACTCCTCCAATTCTCTTTGCTATATTTATTTTCTAAGCTATTATATCCAAACTCTAAAAAATTTCCTGGTTGTTTAAAATTTCTAATGCCTTGCTAGTTTTTATTCCTTGAACTGCAATTCCAAATTGAAAGTATTAATTGCTTCAAATGCCTAGTATTTTACTTATTTCAAGCTATTTTAAATAACCTGTCCTAGTATAACTCCTACCTTCTAAAGCTTGAATTCATTCATCTTTTTCTTTGAGTTCTACAATTCTATCTCCATTTTTTATTTCTCAATTTCTAGTCGTTTCTTTTGTTCTTGCTAAATCTAGAATTCTTTCTAAGCCTTTTCTTGCTCTTTGATTGCTTAACTGTATTTCTTAATGTCCTCCTTTATTTATTAGGCTATCTACTTCTGTTCCTAAGCTGCTTTAAAAATATCCTCATGCTCCTTCCTTGTTTTTTCTAGCTTCTTATCAATGTTATACTCTTCACTATACTAATTCTCAAATTCGTTATCATCTTCGTCATAGTCTTAATATCTTAAAGAGTTTAGATCAGAGTTAAGATTTTTATTGTTATTTGATTATTGATGAATTTATGGTTTCATTTTGCTTTCTCTCTTTATTGTTTGAGATGGTAATTTATAAGAATCTTTGGGCTTCGTCTTTTCTTTTACCTCTTCTAGCTATTTTTCCTTTTGCTCTTTAACTCTCTTCTCTCTTTTTTCTTTAATTTATCTGTGCCTTTCTTCTTAAGTAAGTAAAGGATTAAAATATTCAACCTTTTTGCCCGGAAAAATTGACTGACCATTATTATCAGCTTTTTTTTCCTCCTCTTTCAAAATTTGTTCTATTAATTTAATCAAATCAATAATTACCTTTCTTTTTTTAATGAGTTTGCAGTTCTTTTTGAATAAAATTAGGATCCTTTTTGTACTTGTTAAGTAGTGAAAGAGCTATCATCATATCTTCAGCTTTATCATCTTCTTGAATAACATCTGCAATCATTTTCTTATCGTTTTTACTCAAATTTTTCGAATTCATTTAGTTGTCTGATACGGAATATTTGTTTGAAGTTTCCTAAAATTTTTAAACACTGGCTGAATTCTTTTGAATTAATTAATCTGTAGGTTGATGAGAGAAATTAAAGTTGAATAAGTCATTTTTAGTAATAGATGTCTGCTCATACTTTGGCTTTTGATATTTATGTTTTATTGAAGCAGCTTCATCTTCTACTTAAAAAGCTGCTCTCAATATTTCGTTCACTTCCTTTGAATAGTCTTCTTTTTAAGTAGAGCTTGGTACTTTGTAAGATTGTCTATATAAAGATTAATGATAAAATCCTACTTTTCCATTGAGTGTATGATATCATCAAGGTCCATATCTGCAGTTTCATTTGTGAGATTTCTATTTTATTCATATGTATAATTATTAGTCAGTGTCTTTGCTTGATTGGTGGATCCATTGACTAATGATTCAATTTATCTTCTTATTTCAAGCAGATCAGGGTCTGATTCTAATGAGTTACCACCATGATTATTACTTTTCATTTTAAATTCAAAATTATTTTATCAATCATTTAATCAATCTATTTTTATCAACCGGGGTTTTGGGGTTTTGGGG